GATTAGTTGAAGATACCATTTGCAATAGGGCAGACTTGTCGGACAACGTAGGTACCCAGAAATCATGCAGCAAATCTAGTTAGCCAAAGCTGTGCATCAGCTGTGTCCGCTTATTTTCCGCACCCACGATTTTAAAAATGTTGCACAAGATACCGGAGTAACAGTAAATAGATATTCCGCGGAAGACGGTGTAAGCTGGCAAAAATGTGTATACTGTATTTTGCGCTAAGGATATAAAAGGATTACAGTGGTGCGCACTTCACGAAACAGTCGCACCTCGGAGAATGGCAGGATGAAGGAATCTCCTAAGTGTCACCACCAATAACCAATGCTATTTGTTACCGCTCTTTATGCTAAACCATCATATTTGCCAAATGAAGTTATTTCTATTCGTCTGAAGCACCGTTCTTGTCTAGAATAGCCATCTCAGTCTCAATGTATCTGAAAATGTCGCGCAGTATATTCCCATGTCCATTTGAACTAAAAACACGGTGCTTCGTTCTGCTGTTGCAGAGCTGCGCACGGTGGACCGGGTGAACAAGCAAAGTACGGCCATTAATCACGCAAATACATGCACTCCAAATCATGTTCCAGTAAGATGTCGGCCACTACCTACATGGCGTAACGTAATCAAGTAGTGAATAAAGTTTGTTGCATTCTTTCGATAACTGAAAAAAGTATTCAGGTGAAATATGTTCTGAAATAATGAATATGTCCCCACTATCGTCAAAATTTTCAGTGCCTTAAATGTCTTGTTACTGTGTTAGAAATTATTGTAGTTCCACAAGTGAATGCCAGTTTCCACAGAAATCCTCCAACCAGTCATCATACATTAGGCTAGTTTCTTGGCTGATAAAGAGACTAAGACAAAATAATTAGCATATCGCCTTGTCGGTTGCTCACCAGAACTAATGCTTGATGATAGAAAGGGTAAAGCTTTAATCATTGCCACCTAGAACATACCTTCTAAAGTCGTGATAGATGAAGTTACCTTTTACAAACTGACTGATGTTCCTCAGTTCTGATCAACTTGCCTGACGGCATTTGGTTGTCTGTGTCTCAATATTAACATCTCTCGTATTCGTGCTGCAAATCTTTCGTGGTTTTACATCTTGTAATTAGCCAAGCTGACTCAACGCTTGGGCACTCATTTATTTGAACTTCTTTGTTACCATGATACTTAAGAGGTTAAACACCAGTGGGCGCATGTAAGATCGACGAATGACAAAACGTGTTCAACCTATTTCTGCCTTCTATGAATCCAGCCAATCCTGTCTACGTACGAGATAAAATCTTTCCCTTATGGGATAGGGGATTTGCTACTTCTACACCTAGAGTGAACAGGTTCAATTAACGTTCAATGGAGGTGCCTACAATGCTTCGACTGCTGACTGGAGCTATTTTAGACCCGGTCTACTTTGTCCAAGCGACACATTTGGCATGGTATCAAGGTAAATTGGATTTCGACAATACCAGGCGCGTTCCGTATGTTTGATAAAATGGGATAAAAACAATTAGATTGAGAGTTAGGTTGAGCATAATATCCTTTATTCTGAAGTTCGTTGCTTACCCAGTTTAATTATCATACAGCACCCTGCAGGCTTTCGAGTTAAAGCTGTGGCAATCCAGAGAAAATCCAGGCTTCATTTCAGGTCGTTTTGTTGTATGATTCGGCACTAGGTTTAGGACTATTCGGGGTTTACATGGGTGACCTAAACGGAGTTACTGCACCAGATATTTTATTCGCCGCTGACACCAATTAGGTATGGTGGATGATCAAGCAATCGCAGCTCACGAAATGCTCCAGTTCAAAGAGGATAGTTAAAGTTATTCCGTTAGCAAAAATACAGCATTAAATGTAAACAAGTAACCAATTATAAGCTGTGCCATTGATTGCCAATTTTTAGACAGAGGGAACAGATAGAAGCTACCGGTATCTTCGTGCAAGACTTCATTTCTTCGTTTAAGACAGTTCGGGTCTGTTTTGAGCAAGATGGCGTGAGGCACATATCACCCTTCCTAAAACACAGAGATTGTTCTTTGCACTTAAAGAATAACCATTAAAGCCCGAAAGCTTGACTGCAGTTACAACCTCGTTGCACTTGTGATCACATGGCGCTTAAATCGGAAAAGTTTACTGATTCGTTCCAGTAGCTCACAAGCCAGGTAATGTAACCATAAATCCTAAAAGTACCAGACGTACGTTTTACCATATTAGCGCTTGTCAATGGTGCACCTTCTCTCGGTCCCTTAAGAGGAACCGAACCCATGATCTCTAACTACCTGCACCAGATAGCCTGCAGCTTTTCCCATTGAATCTTGGGCGACGGCGGCAGGCGGTCACAATTTCCAATTTAACGGGAAAGCAGGAATACGTTGCTCAAATTAGCATATCAGTGAAGGGTTAACATACGCGGTATTTTAATAGGTGGACACAGATTACTGCTTAGTGACCTGAGGAATCGAAACAACATTTGTCCCCACATACCAGACTTCAGTCGGTCTCGCCAGGTGAGCAGTCGCAACTAAGAAACATCTAAACCTTACCGTGATTTAGAGTTCAATATGAATTAGTACTCTGTGCTACTAACATGGCATTCATGTCCCCATGGGGGTAAACTTGAATTATCGAGTATTACCATGAACTTGCCGCATATAAGCCATGATACGTTTGCAAGAGTTTTCTATTAGGTAGCGATGAATTCGTGGATAGTTCGGACCAACAGAATGCAAGGACAGAGGTGCCACTTGTTGGACAGCATTAATTGCCCTGTGAGAAGCTATGTTTATACCACACCCCTGCGTTGTCTGATATGGTGTGATGCAATTCTAAACCCTGTTTACTGTGACTCTGTGGACGTCAGGGAATTTACTCGTACTATGTTGTTTTGGCTTCCACTATGTCTCCACATGGCTGCACCCATTACGTTGCTGGAGCCGTACACTCAAGCGTCACACCCATTCTTTACTTTACATACAGCAGGTTCCGATAATCACCAGCTGTAAACCATTACCCGCATTTGCGATCGATCTGCACATTAAAAGAGAAAATGGGTGTGGTGGCGCATGTGTTCATCCCGTAGCAGATGCCATTGCGAACACATCCTGACTTCAGTGGCGACAGCAGTGGACGCATGCTTAGACCGCAATATTTAGGATTAGAGCCTAATAACTTTGAATATCGACCGCAAGAAAATGGCACGGCCCATATGTACAGCAGCTGAACTGAAAACGGGTAAATATTTCTGATCTTCACTACTTTTTAGAATGCCACCATGTATGGAAAATGTTTCGAATATATTAGATGTCATGTACTATAAGTGCTATTTCAGCATTAATGTTTTTCTTATTACCTCGCAATTACTTTTCACTCATCACCTAAGGAAAAGAAAGCTACATTCCGTCACCACACGGAGCTTCCCGTCAGGACACCATGAATTATCCAGTACCAATCTAAGGCCCTGAACTGGACAACCACGGATGTTAAAAACACGATATTTATTTCCGCCTGACATTAGAACTATGCGGAAATTATTAAAGGAATCAAATGTAAAAGCTTTATCATGTCGAAAATTCATGTTACGTAAACCTGGGAATAAATTATTATTATTAATACTATTAATATTATTATTATTATTATTAATGTTTTGGTGCTAACCTTACGGTACCGGATTCCATGCTTCACGTAAACTTAAATGGAATTGTTCAATTAAAGATATGACTCTAACTGATGGTGAACTGGAGATGAATTTCGGTTGAGAAAGTACATTTCACGGGTACCAGCGCTCCGAATTTAGTCAGCATTCCGTGGACACGCAGGGAACGATTGTTCTGTGGCTATTCGTTTGAATTTATTCACCACTGTTATCGTCCAAAATCTGCAACCAGCGAACTACGCAGTATACGACCCAAGTGGACATTTCACATGACCTGCTTTAGCGTAGTTTTAGTTGCGGAACACCTGGATTCGGATAGGGTAGTCAATCTTCATTTACTCATGACCAAGAAAATTTTAATGCAAAAGATTTGAGGTTTCTTCGTAGCCGCCTTCAAATCAGCTTGTCCCTCACACACTCAGGAAATCTTACGTGCGTGTGGACGATACTTTGACTTGGAAGCTGCGACTATAAAGCATCAATTAATCAACCTTCATTTCTCTAAAATGTTCCAATAGAAAATTGAAGGTTCAAATTAAAGTGCCCATCGAGGATTATCCTTTGTATGGTTTAGCATTATTACCGAGTTTCGGTTTCGGTAACCCCAATGCCTAATCTTCATAACTAACCTAACCAGAGATCTACCAACAAACCGCATACTTCGGATCTACCCGCTGCATCTACCAGCAGACATCAAGGCATAAACATGTGCATCTCATAGAACCAGCGATACCTACCTGATGAGGAAGTGTCAACACCAGCCCTTCAAAGACCGCGACCACCTACGAAGTTAACTAGCTGCTATCTCACACATCATAAGCCACCAGTGGAATGCATTATAACAACACGGGATCCTACTGTAACGAAGTACGTGTGAGGCGTCTAAGGGAAGAGCGTTGAATGAAGTGGATCTCTCTGATGCCGAAATTTATAGTAGGATCAATCTATGCTGTGCTTGGTTTCGAAAGGCTGCTTAAAGCCACTGACTTTAACTGTTACTGTTCCCTTGCAGTGGAATATTTGTGCCATGAATCGCGCAGCTAAGTGATCTTAATTTTCACCTTACCTTCTCTCAATTTTGAATGTTTTTTAAGCGTTCCCATGCCAACTGCATAGTGTGCAAATTTCTGCAGTGTGCCAGAATGCATCATGAGCAAGATGTGCATTGTGTGCATTAAAATGGAAGGCTTATATGATTGGTCGGATCAACCAACGAATCAACTTGCCCAGATAAAGAGAAGATTTTCTACCACCTTTTGGTGTACAGAAGTGGTAGGACTATAATGCGTGGTTCCCCACTAAACAGCTCGTTTGGATATATGTGACACTGTCCACCGCAAATACTCACAGCAGTTTTGGATTTCATGGGTGAGTGGTCTAAAGTCACTGTAAATTATGTTCTTTTCCCAAATCTTTTAATTTGTTGGGCTACGTCTTCAAGAATGTCCTGGGTGACCTTGATCAAAGTCTTCAGACAATACGACTAAAACATTATGATTAACTCTTTGGTTACCAAGACATTCAGTCTGTACATGTGGTCCATGCATTTCAACAGTATTTGTTTCGGAATGGGTAATTGTTTGCCGGGGCGAGGCTCTCCGGAGGGGATTGCCACTGACTACCAACGTGGGGACCAAAATTTTCACGTTACAGGAAGATCAATTATTCAAATAGTGTCTGTTTTTCTTTTGTTCGTGACCCGTTCCGTGTTACAAATTGTTGAAAGTTATTCTTTTGTGAGTGCATCAGATATATCCATAGAAAACTAAGCATAAAATGTGAAATCAGTTAAGAATCGGATGAGCAAGGCTGTCTTATTATCCACGATGTTTTCACTATAGAAAATAAGTGTTGTTATGATAACAGAAAGAGAAGCGGTGAAAATTAGTGTAACTGATTATAAAGTGGCCGTGTAACCGCTTGAACAACAATATTATGTGTGAGCACGCGAGGGTGAATATGTAGAAATGCAACAGATTGTTTCAACTCAGGTTGGTCCCCCCGTCCTCATTGGAAATCAGTGTTTACTCTTACTCTCAATGTGTAAGTTTGAAACAAACATAAATTTCCATGACACAGGCACTGAACGGCAACAGATGTGCAAACTTGACCACCCGAGAAGCAAGTTTGGCCCTCTGGTGGTAGAATGCGTTCGACGAAGCGCGTGAACTTTGACTCTAGTAGACAAGAAACCAGGTAAATACATCTACGCTACGCTGCGCCAATTTTTATTTTATGTGGCAGCGAGCAGAACGCTGTTGTTGTTGGAGGAACTTCTGAGCGGTCACGACCGTGCATCTAATTCTGTGAGTATCTCAATTTTAATACCTCGCTATACATTTGGATCAGAAATTGGTCAAACTAAATGAACGATGAACAATGATTTCTCCCGGGTAGAAAACCAGGTGCTTGACAAGTCTCGCAGGGTGGTTGATTTTAGAATTACAAATAAAAGGAAATGGGAGTGATCCGTTTATATATCTGCGCTGCCGTATAACGATAGTGTGAAAGGTGAATTGAATGTAAGCATACCAAATTACACGGTGAGCGGTGATAGTCAACCCATTCTGAGTAAAGTAATAACGAAAACGTTCACTCAAATGGGCATAAGTACCTCACAATGATATATCACATCAGCAACGTTTGATAACAAATTGCAGGAAAGAAGGCTGAGACATTAGTTGGTGGTGGTGTTACGTTGACGCCGGGTAATAGTGGACTATCTAGATTACTGTGAACGTATGAGCGTATTTTTGGGACGTTTTTGAATATCCACAGTCTTGGGGGGGGGGGAGAAACAGCATAAGGTGGAAAGGCGTTTCTTGCTTAGAACACGCCAAGGGAAAAGAAATCACGGCGGCATTTCAACCGGCTATACTGTGCAGTAGTGACCTCTCAGAGTGGTATTCTGATTCATCCTCAGTAGATGACGACATGCATGGTTGGATTCTTTAGTACGTGATGTGTCGTTATCAAAGCGCCACTCAGGTGTCTGTTGTAGACCGCAAAGTGTACACAACTTCGGTTGGCATGATAAATGTAAACGTCCCTTAACATTCCTGGTCGACCAGCGTTCGGACAATTAAAGTGCGGCAAGGTCGTGTTTGTTCCACTGCTTCCAGACGTGGTTGACGTATTCCCAACGAGGCTTTGTGTATGCGTGAGTGTATCAGGGAAGATGGAAGAGACAGATCGCCTGAACGTCCAACTCAATAGGCCAAAGTGTTGGTTGACATATTTGTTTCTTTCTCGGTCTGATTTGAACAGACAGGATCATATTGTACCACCAATTCCGCAGAAACGCGTTGCAAAACTTGACCCTTCCAGCCTGTAGAGGTAGGTGCGTTGACAATACACGCTGTGACTTCCAATTAGTGGCATCGTTTGTTCGCTGCATAAGATAACCAGAGACATGGCAAAAGACACAGTTGAAATCAGGGAGATCCTGTGTAGCTCTTATAACTAAAGTATGTTCTATAAGTTTTTGAGTTTTAGCGGTCTCGAATTGCAAATATTCAACTAAGAAGATTATCAAAGTAGGTCGAGCTCATTTGCCTCCATGTTTTTGACCACCGTAGATGAGGTTGGACTTTGCGTGATCCAATTTCTTTAAACTCAGATTACAAGATGTGTAACAGTGGTTACCTATCACTTAGTGTGGTGATTATGAGAAAGTACAGTCCTGTTTTTCATCGATGCATCTTGTATGTGTAAGAGTATGTGTTAAGGAAGAATGCTTTGGTTCAAAAATGCGCTGTAAGGTTACTTGTGTGGTCTTTGTACTTCAATCATTAGTTGGAGTGTTAGAGAGCAGAAAGGAGATCCCGCTTCAACTCCATCACTTCCCTTCCAGAGCACCGATAGCGCGGATCCTTGCGATACGTTGTTCCATTGGGGACTATCATTTCGGAAAACATGCGAAGCTTCCCTACATCGCAGATAACATTTGAAACTTGACTTCCTCTGCGTACTGACGACTGACTCAGGTTACTCGTTCCAGTTCTTCACCACACGTTTGGACATGATGACATCAGTATGGACGGAGCCTCCTCGGCTTAGGCAGCTACAGGTCTGATCTTGTGTCAAACTATCAACTGAGCTGATAGAACTTCTTCAGTTCACCCCACATATTCCCCGTAGAATGTGTTTGGCGTAAAGCAGATCACGAGGACAACAACGGTACTCCAAGGAGAACACTTTCATCGTTCAAAGGCTTTCGGTAGTGGGCGAATTCCTGATCGCTAAGATGTATTTCGCTCGTCCCCATTGGATCCTTTCTGTCAGAATACCTTCGGTCTTTTAAAGGGGAAAACCGCGGGTGAACCGTAATCTAGGTTAGGAAGCACCGAGGAATTAGAATGTGACCGAAAACGTCTAGAGTCATTCTATACATAGACAGTTTTACAGTTCCGAATATCTTATTAACAGCAGTTGTCATCCTCAAGGTATCTTGGTTTGTACGCATATAAGTAGCCACCAATACGCCAAAGTCCGTCACACATACAGCATTCCTGAACGAGAAACCATCATTGTCATAGGCACAAAACAGATACGGGGAACCGATAGGAAGAATAGAGCACTTTCATATTTAATGGGCAAGTGCCTTTTCAATCACCGGCTGTGCAACCGATCTAATGTTGCTAGCAATCGGTCAGCATCCGTGAGTTTTAACATCATTAGCCAAAGCTTTAAATCGTCAGTACATAGCAACCAATCCGTTCGAGCTATGACGGGAGGCTGTTGATGAGTATTTTGAAAAGCTCAGAGTCAAGTACAGATCCTTGCGGAACTCCACTGGTCATAAAGCGGGTTTGCAGAAAGTTACATTTGCCTTCACTCGTATATAACGGCAATACAAATTAACCGGTGCTACAAGAGAGAATCTCCCAAAAAACGACAACCCTTCGACTTTTGAAGTGAAGCCGTTCGTGCTGGAGTTTAATAAATACATTCCTGAAGTCGACATGGATGACGTCCAGGCGATTGCCGGCATCCAACGATTTAGCCTATTTTTCTGTGGCCAAAAGCCGGTTGGAGGCACATGTGCTTGCATTTCAGAAGCCATGTTGGGCGTGAGTGACCACATCCAAATTATATAAGTATTGATGCATGGCTCACTTGCAGTAGATTTCATGGATAACGGATAATAGTTGACGCACAAATGGATGAAATTTGGGACCGTTATGTGCTTGGTTCTCATCCTTCGACCATCTGCTGCCCGTTGCAGATAGTAAACAGCCATGAGTTTTCCTCAAATTTGGCAGCTGAATGCCAGACATTCACACTTAAAGAAAGTCAGATATTTCTTCTGTGTTGGTCAACGGTGTGTCTCAGTAACCAAGCTGGAATTCACTTGCTATTAAGTGTGGTTTCGGTGTTTCCACTAGGGGTGGCAGGCAATCATGAGAATTACTTTGCTCCTTCACCAGATGGGACCGCATTTATTTGAGGAATGATGTTGCTGACATGCCAATGTAATCAAACGTCAGAAAATAGCATGAAACATTCTCTGCTCTATATGACATGAGAGTGAGCTCGAGATGTTAAAGGAATAGCACCGGTGTAAATTCGTAACTGACGGTTTGATTCTACGTGTTGCCATGACTTGTTTCAGAATTTGCTTACATAAAATGAAATAGTGTCCAGTAGAGCCGAAACAGCGATTCAAATTGGCGCGGCATTTAACAACACAAGTTTCAGGGTATTAATTGTCTTACCTTGGTGCAGGGTGCATATCCTCCCCATTGAATATATATGGAAGCAAATGTAGCTGCAGAGGGTTGCGATGTGGGCAATCAGTTGCGGATATCTCTTCCTCTTAACAAATGTGCTTAATGTAGAGAGTCTACAACGCTAAGCCACTTGCAGCAATGAACTTCAAGGCTTCAAACCCAAGAATTTATTTGAACGTTTGCTTTTGCAAGACAACGAATTTGGACAATCTACTGTCACTGTTCCATTCAATTACCTGCAGAGCTTGACCCAAAAATGCTGCTTATGGTAACCTATTGGCCTTGCGAGACTTTAACCAAAAGTTCCCAAATACATATGCAAAAGATGGTTGACTGTCTAAAGTCAATAGCCTACCTTGTGATCTTCCTATTCAGAGTTGGTGTCAGGCCGGTTGCAGTCCATTCGGTTTATCAGTGAACGACGGGAAAAATATTGTTAGCCTACGTGTGCCACCTGCAGATATCTTAAAAGCCATGTGGTGTCCACAGTCTGGGACAATTGTAGGCCATGATGAGGAGGCACCAGTAATCAGACATGAATCTAGTTATGGAAAACTTGATATAATATGTGCATACTATTATCCAAATGAGAAACATGTGGTGACGTTTTGGTTTGTATTAGTGGCTGATTATAAT